TTTCCTACTGCAAACAGCGCCAAGTGTTCACTCAAAGCACTGGGGAAAATTAAATATTCATCAGTAGAGAAATGGGTAAATAAATTATGGTATATTCTTGCAATGGAATAATACATAAAACAGTCAAACTGAACAATTAACTGAATAGTCGCAGACTTTATTTTTATTTTTTTTTTATTTTTTTTTATTTTTTTAAAGATTTTATTTATTTGACAGAGAGAAACACAGCGAGAGAGGGAACACAAGCAGGGGGAGTGGGAGAGGGAGAAGCAGGCTTCCCGCCGAGCAGGGAGCCCGATGCGGGGCTCGATCCCAGGATCCTGGGATCATGACCCGAACCGAAGGCAGACGCTTAACGACTGAGCCACCCAGGTGCCCCTAGTCGCAGACTTTAATGCCCTACTTTTAATAATGGATGGAACCACTAGCCAGAAGATCAACAAGGAGACAGAGAACTTGAACGACCCTATAAACTAACTAAATCTAACAGACATCCATAGCATGCTCCCCCCAACAGCGGCAGGACATGCTCTTCTTAAGCACACACCTGGAACATTCTCCAAGATCAGTTATACGCTGGTCCATAAAACTAGCTTCATCAAGCTTTAAAGGATTAAAATAATACAGATCATGTTTTCCAGCCACAATGGCATTAAATTAGAAATACATAACAAAGAAATCTGGGGAATTCACAAATATGGGGGAAATTAAACATCACACTTCTACATAACTAGTGGGTCAAAGAAGGAATCAGGAAAGAAATTAGAAAACTTACTCAGATGAGTGAAGATAAAAATGCAACCTACCAAAACGTAAGGGATGCAGCTGAAGCAGCACTTGGAGGGAAATTTATAGCTCTAATGTTTTTACTTAAAAAAGATCTTAATAACCTAGCGTTTCACCTTATGAAACTAGAAAAAGAAGAGTAAATTAAACCCAAAGGAAGCAGACAGAAGGAAATAATAGAGATTAGTACAGAAATAAATGAGTTAGACAATAGACAACCAATAGAAATCAGGGAAACCAAACGTTGGTTCTTTGTTGTTGTTTTTAAATTTTTTTTATTTGAGAATATTTGACACACAATGCTACATTAGCTTCAGATAAAAAGTTGGTTCTTCGAAATAACAAAATTGATAAACCTTTAGCTAGAATGACCAAGGAAAAAAGAGAGAAGTCTCCCCAACCTTCTCTCCCCCTCCCCCATACCCTTACCTCTTCTTTCTCCTTATGCCTCTCCTTCCACCTCCCCTCCCTTCCCCCCTCCCCTTCTCCCCCTCCTCCTCCCCCTTCTTACTCCCTCCCCTCCCTCCCCCTTCTCTCTCTCTCTCTCTCTCTCTCTCTCAGGTTAATGAGAATGTCAGGGAACTAAGAAGAGAGAAACCATGGTTTGAAAGTGTGATGGCTGGGGCAGTAAGAAGTTAAAATAGGTATGCATTTTGTTCTCCCTAATTGAGGCAAGATATCCCTGGTTAGAGTTTCAAGGGCACCTAGATTCAGAAGAACGTGATCCTGATTAGTAGAGTCAGAAATAAAAGAGAGGACATTACTACCAACCTTATATAAGTAAAAGCGTTATAAAGGAATAATATGAACAATTGTTTCCAATAAATTTACAACTTAGATGAAATGGACAAATTCCTAGAAAGACACAAACTACTGAAACTGACTCAAGAAAAACAGGAAATCTGAGCAAACATATAACAAGTAAAGAATTAGTAACCAAAAATCTACCCACAAAGAAACGCCCAGGCCCAAATGTCATCCCTGGTGAATTCTACCAAACAAAAGAAAAAATTCTTCACAGACTCTTCCAAAGGATAGAAAACAAGGGAATATTTCCCAACTAATTCTATGAGGCCAATATTACCCCAATATCAAGACCAGTCAAAGACATCACAAGTAAGAAAACTACTGACCAATATCTCTTCTGGACATAGATGCAAAAGTCCTCAAAAATACACTACCAAATAGAATCCAACAGTCTATAAAAAATAATTACACACCATGACTAAGTGGGATTTATATGAAGAATGCACGGTTTTTCTAATACCTGAAAATCAATTAATGTAATACACCACATTAACAGAATCAAAACTAAAAATCACATGGTCATCTCAATGGATGAAGAAAAGCACTGGATAAAATCAAACACCCTTTCATGATGAAAGCACTCAACAAACCAGGAATGGAAGGGATCTTCCCCAACCTGATAAAAGATATCTAAAACACACATGCACACGCACGCACACACACACAACTAACCAACTAACATCATACTTAATGACAAAAAAAAGAAAGAAAGAAAACGGACACTTTTCCCCTAAGATCAAGAACAAGACAAGAATGTCTCTTCTTGCCACTTCTACGTAATATTGTGCTGGAGGTTCTAGCCAGGGTGGCTAGACAAGAAAAAGAAATAAAAGGTGTCCAGATTGAAAAGACAGACATAAAACTATCTAACTGCAGGTGACATTATCTTGTATATAGAAAATCACAAGAAATCCACTAACAAACTATTAGAACTAAGAAATTATTTCGGTAAGGTTGCAGAATGAGAGATCAATGTAGAAAAATCAATTATATGTCTATACACTAGCAGTGAACATTCCACAAATGAAATTAAGAGAACAGTTCACATTTACGATGTCATCAAAAAGAATAAAATACTTAGGAACACATTTAGCAAAAGACGTGCAAGACTCGTACACTGAAAACTATAAAACATTGCTGGAAGAAATTAAAGACCTAAACTATTGAAAAGATATCTCTAAATCGATCTACATGTTCAATGGATTCAGTATCGAAATCCCAGCTACCTCTTTTTGCAGATATTGACAGACTGATCCTTAAATTCATATGGAATTGCAAGGGGCTGTGACAAACCAAAACAATGTTAAAAAAGAGGAACAAGGTTAGAGTACTCATACTTCCCAATTTCAAAACTTACTACACATCCACAGTAATGAAGGCAGTATGGTGCTGGCATAAATACGGACATATAGACCAATGCAATAGAATCGAGAGTCCAGAAGTAAACACAGTGAGTTGATTTTTGAAAAGATGCCAAGGCCAATCAATGGAGAAAGAATAACTTTTCAACAAATTATGCTGGGACAACTAAATATCCACGTGTGAAGGAACACAGTTGAACCTTTACCTCACACCATACACAAATATTAATTCAAAATGCATCATGGACCTAAATGTAAGAGCTAAAATGATAAAAATCTTAGAAAAAATAGAAACAAATCTTCACAGCCTTGGGGTAGGCAGTGGTTTTTAGATACACACCGAAAGCACAAGTGAAAGAAGAAAAAAATAAATAAATTGGACTACATCAAAACTAAAAACTTTTGTGCTACAAATAATACCTTTAAGAAAGTGAAAATATAACCAAGAGAATGGGAGCAAATACTTACAAATCATATATCTGATAAGGGACTTATGTGCAGATCGCATAAAGAATTCCTACCACTCAATAGTTAAGACAAACAACCCAATTTAAACCTGGGCAGAGATTTTGAATAGACATTTCTCCATATACAGATGGCCAGTATGCACATGAAAAGATGATAACATCATTAGTCATTAGAGAAATACAAATCAAAACCACACTGAGATACCACTTGCCACCCACTCAGATGGCTATAATAAAACAGACAACCACAAGTGTTGACAAGGATGTGGATAAATTAGAACCCTCAAACATTGCTAGCAGGAATGTAAATTGTTGTAGGCACTTTGGGAAGCAGTTTGGCAGTTCCTCAAAATGTTAAAGATGGGCTTTCTGGGGCACCTGGGTGGCTCAGTCGGTTAAGCGTCTGCCTTCAGTTCAGGTCATGCTCTTGGGGTCCTGGGATCGAGCCCCGCCATCGGGCTCCCTGCTCAGCGGGGAGCCTGCTTCTTCCTCTCCCTCTGCCCCTCCCTCTTCCCTGCTTGTGCTCTCTACTCTCTCTGGTGCTCTCTCTCAAATAAATAAATAAAATCTTTTAAAAAAAGAACATAGGTCTACATAAAAACCCATACATGAATCTTCATAGCAACATAATTTATAACAGCCAGTAAATAGAACCCACCCACCAAAATGTTCACCAATGGATGGGTAAATAAGATGGGATATAGCCATACAATGAAAAATTATTCATCAGTAAAAAGAAATGAAGTACTGAAACAACATGGATGAACAGTAAAAACATTATGCTTAGTGAAAGAAGCCAGTCACAAAAGACCACATGTTGTAGGATTCCACTTACATGAAACGTCCAGAATAGTAAATCTATAGAGACAAAGTAGATTAGTGGGCACCTACCACTCGAGGAGCAGGAACTGGGCGGGGGGGGGGGGGGGGGGGGGGGGGGGCCGGTAAGAGGGATGGAGTTTCTTTTGGGGTTGATGATGAAAATGTTCTAAAATTTATTGTGATGGTTGCACAACCCTGTGAATACACTAAAAACTACTGAATTGTACACATGGAATTTTTAAAAGGTGAATTGTATGGTACATGACTTATATCCCAATAAAGCTGTTTTTTAAAAAAATGAACGAATTATATATATATCAATGTAGATAAACTTTAAAAAGGTAGAGAAAAAAACAAGTTGAAAAAGGAAACAAGGAAGCATACAATATGATGTCTTTTATGTGAAACTGTAAAACAAAAAGCAGTAGTATATATTGTTTGGGGGGGAAGATAAATTCTTAGTAAGATATAAAAACTTGGATGGAAAGGATATACTCCAACTGAAAAATTTCCCCTCTCTATAAATTCTTTAAAATTTTATGGTTTATTTGTCCATTGTTTATGTGTAATATATAAAGAAATATATATCTATGTTCATATCCTTTCCTTTCTTAAATAAGAGGTGAAATACCATATGTACTTTACTTTTTTTTTTAACTCGACAATATATTCTAGAGATCACTCTAAAAGAGTTTCTGGAGCTATTCCAGCGAGGCTCCTTTATTAACCTTGTTGGGGCTCCTGTCCGAAAGGAGGAGGGCCAGAGATGGATGACTATATGGAGACACTGAAGGATGAGGAGGATGCCTTGTGGGAGAATGTGGAGTGCAACCGGCACATGCTGAGTCGCTACATCAACCCAGCCAAGCTCACCCCCTACCTGCGCCAGTGTAAGGTCATTGATGAGCAGGATGAAGACGAAGTGCTCAATGCACCCATGTTGCCTTCCAAGATCAACCGGGCAGGTAATTTGAGGAGCCACCCTAGAGGAAAGGGTGGGCGACCTCTTGTGGCAGCTTCCGGAAATACCCCGTAGTTGGCTGTACCAAAATGACGTTTCTCTGGGTCAGGAATTTTTAAACGGGGTCCACGGACTTCTGCCCTCCCCTCCCCCCCTCACCGAGCTCTCTACGTATAGAACTGAGAGGGTCCATGAACTTGGATGGGGGGAAATTACATCTTTATTTTACTAGCTTTAACCGAGATTCAGCGTTTCCATCCATTCTGAATGTAGGTAGGCGACGAATCACAGTGGGGATTAGCAATACCTGTGACTTTGTCAACAATAAAATTACAGATAACTTCATACCACATTACAGCTGTTACAGATCTTCCAAAACAGCATTTACACTCATCTCACCCTCAAAATTACGGTAGTTATTAGACCTGCCAAGAGATCGTGTTATTAATGCATTAGTGAAGAAGCACTTTTATTGCTGAATCTCAAATTTAATATTTGATAACGGTATCTTATTAGAACCGATTCCCTTCATAATCCAATTCCTTTTTATCTGTTTAAAAATATTCTGAGAAGGGGTCCACAGGCTTTTCCAGACTGTCTAGGGATCCATGACACTTTATCACATTCTTCAAAGGTAGTAAGTGTGGCTTGTAAAACTTGGTTTTACGTACATATGCGCGTATATTACACCTCTCTGTGTTCGCCCATGTGTGTATAGGTCACAATGTAAAATATCTTTCTCTCTGTGGCTCCCCGTTGAAAAGGTTTGATACTTTTTTTTGATACTTCCCCACAGTAGGACTGGCGATAAGTAGCTCATCTGCTGTGACTCTCTTTCGCACACATAACAGACATCACTAATCACAGCTCGGGTTCCTAATGAGCTCGGATGTAACTTTACAATCCTCAACACAGTGCTCCAGGCAGCTTCGCCACAGAATCCATTAACACAAGACGAAACGTATTTGTTATGTCTATCCTGGGACCTCAAGGGAAGAAAAATCTGAACATAAAATGTTTGAGGATGGGGCAAGAAATGTAAATATTAAGTGGAACCAGAAACCCAAAATGCCAGGCAAGTTACATTTAGGTTAAAGATGTTTCTGGACTATGAGATACCCAAAGATCATGGAGCTGTGCCTGCTTCCCATGACTTTTCCTAGCTCTCCACTCGAAGATTTGTCTTCCTGCCCCGAGTCTCAGAGAGCCATGCATTATTCTGTAATTGTTTTGTACTTCCAGCCTCCTTCAATCACAGAAGAGCTGGTGCCTGTAATGGTTAATTTCCGTGCTGGTCAACTGGGAGGCTCTTTGAAACTGTTGGTCTCCCATAACTGCAATTCCATTTATCCTGGTCCTACCAATCTCTTAGAGAAAGGAAAACTAACAGCCACCGAATCCCTGTTGAGGGCCTGGCACTTTGATTTATAGTATCTGGACTCCCAGATACCACTCTCGAGTGACAAGAGTGTGGTGAGACTGTCTTCTTAGAGTTTATTGAGGGACAGGAATCCAGGGTAAGGCTGGACATGGAGACTTGCATCCCATCAGAAGGGCACTCTTCTCACCGGGTGATTTCCGTTCCGCTAGGCCGACTGTTGGACATTCTACATACCAAGGGCCAAAGGGGCTACGTGGTCTTCTTGGAGAGCCTGGAATTTTACTACCCGGAACTGTACAAACTGGTGACTGGAAAGGAGCCTACCCGGAGATTCTCTACCATTGTGGGTAAGTGGCTTTGCCATCAGGAGCCTTTGAACTCTGGCCGGAGTGTGTGTGTGTATGTGTGTGTGTGTGTGTGTGTGTGTGTGGGTCCACTGGGGGGACAGTTCCAAAGCGATGAATCGATGACGTTAGGACAGTGTTCCCGTGGTACTTGTGGGCTGTCAACCACTCATTTCTGCCTGCCGATCAAAGAAAGGTAGGTGACAGAGACAGACCAGAGTCGGAGCCAAGAGAAGTGGGTGTTTGTGGAACATCCTCCATGAATGTTGGTGGGGCCGGGCAGAAATTCCTGCTGCCCTCCGGATCCTGTGCTTGCCTTGCCTATTGTCTTGCCAGCATCCCTGAGCCAGGGCCCTCGGTAACCTCTTCACAACTTTCCTCCCTAAGTATTCCTGAGTCACCCTTCTCTGCACCTCCACCACTACCCCAGTCCAGACTCCTCCAACCCCATCCACTCTACATCCATTCCTGCTCTGCTCCATGCTTTCTCCACCCCTCATGTTGCCCTCCTTGCTGAAAACCTTTGGTGGTTTTCCACTGCATCCAACTAAACACCCATGTCTTTAATGGAGCCCACAAGAACCCTACATGGTCCAGCCCCTGCTCGCGCTCCTAGCCTCCCCCTTCTGCCTCTCCGCCTCTCCGGACTCCAGCCACTTTGGTCTTCCTTCAGTTTCTGAAACGTGCCAAGTCCCCCCCTTCCTCCCTGTAGGGCTTCCACCTTCCTAGGACGTGCTTTCCCTCCTCGACGTTTCAGCTCAACTATCAGGAGCCTTGCAACCCGGCCGCCGGCCAGGCTGGATCTGGCCCCCGCTGCCCACCTTCACAGCCCCTGCGCCTTTACTTTGCGAAATCCTCTCTATCTGTAGTTCTACTGGTGCATGATTATCCGCTGTTTTACTGGCTGTCTCCCTTCGGAGACTGTAAGCTCTACCAGGACCAAGGCTGTCCTGCCCACTCTGAGCGCCCAGGGCCTGAAGAGCTCGGTGCAGTGCTGGTGTGTACGTGAGTGAGTGAGCGAAGGCCTGACCCCCACCGCACACCTGGGGCCCCCTTTGCCCCCCCCGCCCCGGGCCTGACGAGCGCCCCCTCTCCACAGTGGAGGAGGGCCACGAGGGCCTCACGCACTTCCTCATGAACGAGGTCATCAAGCTGCAGCAGCAGATGAAGGCCAAGGACCTACAGCGGTGCGAGCTCCTGGCCAAGTCGCGGCAGCTGGAGGACGAGAAGAAGCAGCTGACCCTGACTCGAGTGGAGCTGCTGACCTTCCAGGAGCGGTACTACAAGATGAAGGAGGAGCGTGACGGCTACAACGACGAGCTGGTCAAGGTCAAGGACGACAACTACAACTTGGCCATGCGCTACGCCCAGCTCAGTGAGGAAAAGAACATGGCGGTCATGAGGAGCCGAGACCTCCAGCTCGAGGTGAGCAGCACGCGCGGGCGGGGCGGGGCTGGGGCTCGGGGCTGCCGCGCGGGCAGGTGCACACAGGCCCACGTGGGCCCCCAGAGCTTCTCACTCAGCTAGGGGAGGGGGAGTGGGGGATGCTGCGTTTTGGGGCGCGCCTAGATCCACCAGGCGCATGAACACAACAACCCAGGGAGGCTTAGCGTAACAGCCGAGGGCCCAGGGCCACCATGCGCATGTGCAGATGTGCGCACACGGACCCAGTGGGGCTGCCCGCCACCTGCTCAGCCCGCCCACCCCACCCCACCTCACCCCACCTCCGCCCCAACCACCAGGTGCGTGTGCAGACATGCGCACATAGCCCCTTGGCAAAGCCCGGTGAGGGGGAATATGGAGAACCAGACCTTGAGTGACCCTCAGGAAATTCAGCGAGGAGACGGACCCAGCACTTGCTCCGTGGAGACTGAGGTTTTTGAGGCCGGGACCCTGCCCTTCCCAACTGTATCCACAAAGCTCAGCATGGCACTGTGGGACAGTCAGTGTACTTATCAATGAACAATCCGCCAGCCAAGTGATTCATGTCATTGATGAGTTTACCTCCAAAATGGAGAAGGGGAAGGGAATTTGCTTAACTCATCCATCCTTTTTATTTATTGAGGGCCACCATGCACCAGGCTCTTTTCCAGGGATGCATAACTCAAGACCAAGGCTCTGCTGTCACAGAGCTCACATTCTAATCAGCAAACAAATACATAAACACCTGGTAATAATAAGTGCTATTAAGAAGAGGGAAGGAAAGAGTATAAGGATAGTGAGTGAGGGAAGCGACTTTTTTTTTTTAAAGATTTATTTATTTGAGAGAGAGAGAGAGCACATGAGAGGGGGGAGGGTCAGAGGGAGAAGCAGACTCCCCGCCGAGCAGGGAGCCCGATGCGGGACTCGATCCCGGGACTCCAGGATCATGACCTGAGCCGAAGGCAGTCGCTTAACCAACTGAGCCACCCAGGCGCCCGGGAAGCGACTTTTAAATAGGATGGTCAGGAAGGGTCTCTGAGAAGGGGACACAGGGAGGACAGGGAGGGAGCCAGCCATGCAAGGCTCAGGGGAAGAGCAAAGAGCAAATGAAGGGCCCCAAGTAGGGGGCATGCTTGGTGTTTCTGACCATCAAGAGAACCAGTGGGGCTGGAGCCAACTGAGCACGTGGCACAGAGAGATGGCCAAGGTCCAGATCGTAAGGGCAGGGTAAGAACTCTGGAATTTATTCCAGTTGTGGTGGGAAGCCACTGAAGGATTGAGAGCTGGAGAGTGACAACTGATTTATATCTAGAAGGATTACTCTGGCTGCTGGGTGGAAAATAGACTCGGAATATTTATTAAGCACCTGCCATGTGTAAGGCGGAGTGCTAAGCACGGTGGGGGACATGGGGATAAATAACCTGATTTCTGCTCAGGTCACATACAATTTAGGTGAGGCAGACAGATCAGTAAACAATCCACTGGAATTCAGGTGAATTGAGTCAGTGGCATGGCGGGCAGTAGAGGGTTTCTGTCAAGAGCACGGGCTTTTAAAGCCTATACATTTGAGTTCGAATCTGACTCGGGCTTCTGGCTTTACTGCTTACTTGGTTTTTGGCCTGTTTTCCTTACTTATAAGTGGCAATCGTGTAAAATCATTCCTGTACCTCAGGGTTGCTGAGCCACAGCCCATGTCTTTGGCAAAGTGGCTGACCCAGTAAGCACCCCACAGTGCTGGCACTCCGTGCCCCCTTGGATGGGACAGGGGATCTGGACCCAGGACCGGGCACCTGGGCTGACCTTCTAAGATGCCGAAGAGGATTTTTTTTTTTTTTTTTTTTTTTGGCATGACCAGGAGGAGAGGTTTCTATGCTGCTGTAGCTAGGATTTGGAGACGTTAGCCTGTGACAGCGACTTAGAAGTTTCTCTCCTAGGACTTTGTCCTACATTATATTTCCCTGATGATATCGGAATAGTGGGAAGCATGCCTAGAACTTGAAAGAACATCTGGCCAGCTGAGTCCCTAGGTCATTTCTGAGCCCCAGGTTGCTTCCCTGTATGCCTCTTCCTTCCTCCCCTTCCACGGGGGCTCAGTGCTTTCCTTGCTAAAGTCACCACCCTCTGCCTGCCAGGTACCTTGCAGTATTCTCCCCGTAAGCCTAGATTTGTAAAAGGGCGCTCGCCCCTTTGGTGCCTCCCTTTCCTGCAGCTGTTGAAGACATGCTTGATGTGCGTGTTCTGTAAGGTCAATCAGTTTGGAGAAGCAGACAGTCTTAGTCACAAAGGGCTACAAAGTCTTCTCTTGGGCCCCCTTCCTGACACTCACCTCGCCAGGGCAGAGCTCCGCAGATCTCCACTTGTCATATTTCCAGATGTGGTAACCGCCTCCTCCAGGAAGCCACTCTTCCAGCCCTGAGCGTGGGTCCTTTAGGCCAGAGATGCCGTGAACCCAGAAGGCCTCACACTGTCCCTTTCACAGTAGTGCCGTTTGTCTGAATAGAATTTTGTGGGAAACCCACAAGGACAAACCTGTGCCGGTTGCTCTGGGATAAAGTCAGGGCGCGGGGCCCAGAACCCAGAGCCCGTGGTCGCCTCACTCCCTGTGATAACATGGGTTCGTGAGGGGAGTCCCCCAAGTTCTCTAAGGGACAGATAGCCCCTTTCACAATGTTCCTAAATTAACAAATCAGGAGCTCTTCATCAACAAGATGGCACTTTGTTTTATGACAAAAGGTTTCTTTGAGCCCTTCTCCGTCGCTCACTGGAAGAAGGGGGGGTGGGCATCACACAGGTTACGCGGCAAGTCCGCTGGGCATCTGGGGGAGCATTGCCTCTCCCAAGTGTTGCCTGCCAAATGCACCCTTGGGCGTTTCAGATCGACCAACTAAAGCATCGGCTGAATAAAATGGAGGAGGAGTGCAAGCTGGAGAGGAACCAGTCTCTGAAGCTCAAGAATGACATTGAGAATCGGCCCAAGAGGGAGCAAGTTCTGGAGCTGGAGCGGGAGAATGAGATGCTAAAGACCAAAATCCAGGAGCTGCAGTCCATCATCCAGGTGCGGGCTGGGGCAGGGCAGTGGATGGAAGGGGCAGACCCCGGCCTGGGAGTGCATCCCCCTTGCTGACCGCGGGGCCCCCCGCAATCCACGTCATCCCTGGGTGTCCTCCGTGTCCGCACTCGGTAAGGTGGGGGCCGCCACACTACCCACTCGTCAGAGACGCGACATTATGTGAGCTGACACTTGTGATCTCACGGAGTCCCTGCCCCGGGCTCTGTGAGACAGGGGCGGCCGGGAGACCAATTTCCCCTTAAAGATCCCAAGAAATGCACCTCTCAGCTCTGCGTGATTTGTTAAAACGTCTAGTGCCTCCCCACATTTCTCATCGCAGACTCATTTTCGGGTATGAAGGAGGAAGTGGCTGAGAAGTAACATCCCCCAAACACATCTACAGGGAAAGAGAGAAGGCTTCCCCTCCCCCTCCTCCAGAATTATAGAATTATTCCCCCAGGATTGGCTGCCTGGTGTTTAAGGTGCGGATTTGGAGCAGAGAATGAATCCTGGTTAATCGAAGCAGATTAATATTTCAGGGGATGCATCTGGATGGCAGAGCAGTCCTCTCTTTGTTGGCACCTATGAAGTATTTGGAGGAGCAGGAACTGCTTTTCTTGGCTCTGATAAGAGCTAGAGCAGAACAGTAGGCATTGGGATGTTCCTGAGCAGAAGCAGGTTTTATGCTTCTTTCCAGGTGATAAAATTCTTAAATAATAAGCTGCTTAAGGACCCCAAGAGGCAGGGACTCTTTCTCTGCTTCCCTAGCACAAAACCTGCTCTCCCAGCATCTGTCGCTGGCTCTGTTGTCCCCCCGCCGGCCTCCCGGGTCCCCCTGGCTCCCCGCCCCCAGCGTGGTCAAACCTTCCCACCCGCCCGCCCAGGCCGGAAAGCGCAGCCTGCCGGACTCGGACAAGGCCATCTTGGACATCCTGGAGCATGACCGCAAGGAAGCTCTGGAGGACCGGCAGGAGCTTGTCAACAAGATCTACAACCTGCAGGAGGAGGTCCGCCAGGCAGAGGAGCTGCGGGACAAGGTGGGAGCCCCCCACTCCTGGCCAGTACACCAACGTGCATTTGCAAGAGCTCCCCGACCCCCACTCTCTTCTGGGGACTAGGTTTCAGTGCCAGCATGAGCCCCTCGCTGTGATTTGTGATTTACTGTACCACCCCAGCACCTGCCTTCCCCCTCCTGACCACAGCCCACGTGAGGGCACACAGTGCCCTGTCCCCCCTCCACATTCCCTTGCACACAGTAGGTATGAAGCAAATCTAGGCTGACTGCCTGCCCTACAGCCGCGGCCCTGCTCTCCAGAGAGCTGACCCTCGGGGAGGGGCAGGCCAGCAGGGACGCTCGGCTGGGAAATCGCTGGCCCCGGGCCCTGATCTCTCCCCGTTGCTTGCAGTACCTGGAGGAGAAGGAGGACCTGGAGCTCAAGTGCTCGACGCTGGGCAAGGACTGTGAGATGTACAAACACCGCATGAACACGGTCATGCTGCAGCTGGAGGAGGTGGAGCGCGAGCGGGACCAGGTACGGCAGGCACCCGCATACCGTGGGGGCCTGAGCCGGGCTCCAACAGGCCCGACGACGGCACGCGGTCCCCAGAGTCAGACAGCCACGTTCAGGCTCGGTCACTCATCAGGGTGTGTGGCTGCAGCCGGCTCCGCCCCGGGGACGCCTCCGTGTCCTCGTCTGTGATACGGGAGTAGTAAGACAGCACCACCTGCTAGGGGCGGGGTGCGGGCTCCGAGAGATACTGCCCCGGGGCTCTCAGCACAGTGCCCGGCTCCAGCCGGGGCAGGACACGTGGCAACTGTGATGCGGACTGTCGGGGAAGGGAGCGACTTAAACGCCCAAGAGCTGGGGTTAAGAAAAGAGCCCCGGGGTTGGGAAGCAGGTGTCCAGACAAAGAGCGTGTCCCGGGTCTGATTTGGTTGGGTCGGGGTGAAGAACCAAAGTGGCCCTGTCCTCCCCGCTCCCCCCTCTCACCCCCGGTAGGCCTTCCATTCCCGGGACGAAGCGCAGACCCAGTACTCACAGTGCTTAATCGAAAAGGACAAGTACAGGAAGCAGATCCGAGAGCTGGAGGAGAAAAATGACGAAATGAGGATTGAGATGGTCCGGCGGGAAGCCTGCATCGTCAACCTGGAGAGCAAGCTCCGGCGCCTCTCCAAGGACAGCAGCGGCCTGGACCAGGTGGGGCTGGGCGGGGCGGGCCGGGCCGGGCTGGACGTGGCCCCGGGCGCCTGCAGCCACGTGCCTCCCCACGCCGTGGCCCCTCCCAGAATAACCCCTGTCCTTGACCCTCCTGCATGGCACACCACTCAGTACACACTGTGAATTTTGAACTTGGAAAATGCAGGGTAAAACCCTGTCATGGCCACTTGCTAGACAAGTGACTTCACCGGGTAGCCTCAGCTCCTTCTCAGTTGACCACAGCTGCCTGCTAGGCCTCCCGTTGCCACCACCATGTGGACGGTCACTGGGCGTCAGACGCCCCGCGCCCACTGAAGCCCCTGGTGCCTGTGAGGACACTGTCCTTTACGGACGGTACGACGCTCGGAGTTATGTCACTGCAGGGCCCCGGGGACTCAGGGATGAGTGGACGCTGCCATCGAACAGACCATTACGGTCCTCATGCACCAAGGAAGGAGCCCGGACCCTAGCAGCTGGGGGCACCCCTGGTCAGTGGCCTGGGGAACCTGGGGCGAGACCCTCAGCGGACCCAAATCTAGCGCCAGGGGTCAATCCAGGAACGTGTTGTTTCGATGCAATGTTGTGAATCACAAGCAGTTCTGGGCGGTTCCGCCGTCCGTAAGGGGGGGGGCGGGGACGGGCAGGTGACAGGATGGGCAGGTGACAGGCGGGCAGGTGACAGGACGGGCAGGTGATGCGCCGGGAGGCGTGGCAGGAGAGAACAGGGTCGGCTTGTGGGCTGAGGCCCTTCGTTGTTTTTCTGGGACCTCGGCGCGTTTTGTGCAGGGAAGTAAGGCAGAGAGTTTGGGTTGGAGGGCAGTGGCAGGAAGGTTGTGTGGTTGGGGGGCAACTGGAAGTTACCGACTGCCCCTGCAGCTGGGCCCCAGGCAGTGGCTAGAAAGCACCAGTACGAGGCCCGAGCTGCTCTGTTAGGTTCTGTGTTTGCAGCTCAGGCCCAGGGCTGCCCCTCGGGACGTGAAGGCAGCCCATCAGACCCCAGGGGCCATCGCTTTACTGCCGCAAACACCACAAAGCGGGAGGAGACGGGGACCGGAGGCTGGTGACAAGAAGCGAGTGGGGCCAGAACGACGAGCCTGGGCATCGTGGCCGGGGGGCCGCGGGGATCCGGGAGATGCGCGGGCCGTCCTGAGTTCGAAGCTGGGGCCCCAGGGAGGGCCACCCGCCGACAGCGGCCGCTCGTCCCGCCGTATCACTGGCGCTGGCCTCTCTCTGCCCCAGAGTCTGCCCCGGAACCTGCCGGTGGCCATCTCTCAGAATTTCGGGGATGCCAGCCCCAGGACCAACGGGCAGGAAGCTGACGACTCGTCCACGTCAGAGGAGTCCCCGGAAGACAGCAGATACTTCCTGCCCTACCACCCCCCCAAGCGCAGGATGAACCTGAAGGGCATCCAGGTACTGGTGCGGACGGGCGGCCGTGGGGCCACTGGTGGACGGGACTCGGCCTTGCTGGCCTTATCGATGGGAATCCTGCCAGCCCCAGCTTTCTCCCCGTTTGCTTTCACACATCCTCCTTCCGCATAGCCCAAGTTAGAGAGAAAATGAAGTAAGTGTTTCGAAATTCATTCATTTATTCAGCAAATAGGTATTGAGTGTCTATCCCGTGTTCATTGACGTTAATGGCTTGGGAGAGGCCTGCGGGGGGGCTGGAGTTAGAGCGGCAAACCTGTCCACTCCGCTCAGTGTCCAGGGCCGTCCGTGGCTCCCTCTTCAGGAGGAATGAGCACGGGAGATCATCTCGCGTGAGGGGGGCCGGGCAGCGCAGGGTGGGCCCCCCAGGAAGCACCAGCACCTTGTCCTTTCCGGAAAACTCCCCTGTGTCGTGTACCCGGTTCTGCTGGGCCTCACACCCGCACGTGCACCTTCCCCGGCCGCCGCTGTCGGCTCTGGTACCAGCTGAGCCATGTGGTGCCACCTCCCGGGATGGGGGGGTGGGGGAGGCACTGTGCCAGCCGATGCCATGCAGCCCGGGGTGCGGGCATCACACGCCTTCGGGGCTCCTGGGGCCACACGGGCTTCCTCCGTTTATTCCCTGCCTCCGCTGCCACGGGTCTCGGGCCTTGTCTGACGTCAGATTGTTGCTTTCCCCTCTGTCTTGCAGCTGCAGAGAGCCAAATCCCCCATCAGCCTGAAGCGAACCTCAGATTTCCAAGGTTGGTGCACGCCCAGACCCCGCTCCTGTCTGTCTGTCCGTCTGCCTCTCCTGGTCCTTTTTTTCCCATTGTGATGATCAATCCCGTGCGTTCAACCTGGGACAGGCCTGGGGGCCCCGGGTGGAGGGGCGTCTGATAGTAGTTAACACTCGTTGTCAGGGGACAGGGCAGGAGCTACGATGTAGAAATGTCCCGTCTGGGGCACACACGCGCACACACGCACGCAGCTCACACGCACACTGAGGTCGGCCCTGGGCCCCGGATACCACAGCCGGACTTGGCGCTTCTGCTCACGGCTTGTCAGCAGGAGGCGGGCTCGACCGTCCTTCCAGGCTTTCGGCCGGATGGCCTGGGTCCAGCTGTGAGCCCCTGGTTCTCCAAGACACGGCGTCTTCAGAACCTGTAACTAGTTCTCACTGTGACTCTCAGGGGACAGTTGGCTAGTGAGGAAATCAAGCAGCTACTGTGTGCCAGGTGCCCCTAGGCCCACACAGACGCTCTGGAGCCCTGTGTCAGAGTGAGGATGGAGAAAGTGGCTGTGGACACCAAGGAAGAGCGGATGGAGGAGGGCTGGACAAAGATCCGTCAAGAAGGGACACAGTCTCTGGAAGGCCGTTCAGGACAGAACAGGGAGCAGCGGCAGGGTGGAGGAGCCTGGCGTGCTGCCCTTTTAGAGCTCAGAGCAGGGGAATGCCGGGAGAGGGGCTTCTGGTCCCAGGGCAGGAGCTCCGTGCTGAGGATGTGCACCCCTCCCCGGTCCGTGGGGGGCAGGGGAAGGAGGAGCCCAGAGGTGGGGGTCCATCCACCCCTCTCATTGCCAGATCAAGTATCTCTAGAACTTTCTTTATCAGAAGGGAGGTGTAAAGGGCCTGAGGCCTGTGGGAGAAGTGTTTGCCCCAAGAAGAGGGACGGGGGAAGCAGGATGACAGAGCTTCTGGACCCTCCGCAAGCCTTTGCCACTGGCTAGGGTGATGTGTGCAGGTGTCGGACTGTTCACGCACAAGCTATGGGGGGCACAGGTGGGAGAGCCGGCTCTCCTGCACAGCAAGGCAAGGGCTGAGAAGTGTGCGCCAAACCCCAGACAGCCCCCGAAGGAGCCGGAGGGGCACCTGGGGCTTACTGAGGAGGCGACAGGCTCTGCCCAACCGGCCCCTGTCTCCAGTCGGCCTGTCCAGTGGAGACGGTGGGGTCCTTCTTGAGGATGGGGTCCCTGGGCAGGGACGTCCCCACTCTACAAGACGCACGCTCCCATCCTTGCTGTTCCACAGAGCGCCAGGTGGGGCCCCCGCCTGAGTCCTCAGAGACACAGGACGTCGTCCCGCCTCTGCTGGGGTTGCCCTGGGCCTGGCCACGGCAGGACGCGCTGGTGCGCAAGACCAGACTCCCTCCTGCGAGCCTACGGCTGGGGGAACGGGAGGAGGGAGGAGGCCACACCCACCCTCCCTAAGAGGACAGGCCACCCGGGCAGGACAGCCCCCGGGCGCCCGGTGCCCACGGGGGCTCTCAGTGCCCGCTTGCCTGCCTTTCCTCTCCGCCTCCTATCTCCGCGAGGACAGGGCGAGGCCATGAAGAAGAAGGCACGGACGCCAGCCCCGGCTCCTCCAGATCCCTGCCCATCACCAACTCCTTCTCCAAGATGGTAAGCGGGGTCCCCAGCACGCCCCCTTCTGGCTCAGAGCCCACCAGCAGCCCCCGCCCCTTCATCTGCCCCCGCAGGCCTGCCCCCTTGCTTTGCACTCTGCGCAGGCCTGTGAGCAGCATCACTCTGGGGGGCTTGCAGCCCAGATCCTCCTTATGTTTATTTAAAGATGTTTCCACTGGCTCACCGCATATTTACACCTTCTCGCGGCCTTCTTTCCCAATTTAACACTCGGTGGGAGGAAGAGATGGGCCTCTGAGGAGCCATAGGGAACCACACAGGCAGCCGCTGAAAATTCTACAGCAACTTCAGGCCCTGCGCCTCCCTTCCCCAGCCCGCCCCCCCCCGCCCCCTCCCCTGCAGGGCCCCAGCCCCTGGATCCAGTGTCCCTCCCCTCAGGCAGGCAGCAGAAGGCATGGGATTAGAGATTCTAACCCCAGAGGCGAAGCCCTGGGAAGCTTGTCAGCTCGGCTTCCAAAATCAGGCCCTGGGGGATGCAGGAGTTTGATAAGGAACGGCTCCTGTCTGCTTGCAGCTCTGGGGGGCGAAATCCGAGGCTCTTATTTAAGGCAGCCCTTGCCAGGAGCCAGCAGGCCTTCTTTCAAAGGGTCGTCCTCCAGCAGCCGTGTGGCCTGCGGGGCATCTGTCACAACGGCCACCACCACCAGGCCCCCCGGGTCTTCCTCTCATCCAGAGTAGGTGCCCAAGGCCGGCGCAGCCGGGGGGCCATGGAGCTCAGCCTGTGCAGGGTACAAGGCACCACCCTGCCCGCCCCCCATCTCCCCCAGCCTCCGCGGACTCCCGCCTGCATCCTCCCTGCCCCTGCCCAAGGCAAGCAGATGTGCAAGCAGATGTGCGCCAAGCTCAGCGCTCAGCGGCCGCCCTAAGCTGCCCCAGGCCGAGCACAAGCCTTCTCTGGCCAAGGTGGCTGCTGAGAACCAGCTTTCCCTGGCCGCCTCGGGGACGGGGACGCATCGGCGTTGAATTTAGCCCCCTTGTCTGTAATAGTTATGCCCGCGGAGGCACGGGCGTGTAAATACCCGGCTCCCCATAGTGCATCTGTGTCATCCGTCTGTGTTTCAAAGCAACCCCACCGAAGCCGCTCCAGCATCATGTCCATCACGGCCGAGCCCCCCGGAAACGACTCTATCCTCAGGCGCTACAAGGAAGACGCGCCTCACCGCAGGTGGGTGGCCAGAGGAGGCAGGAGGGTGCCACCCGGGCCCCTCTGCAACCGCTCGCTCAGCCTTGAGCCAGCCTTGAAAGGTAGGCAGGATGCTGCCCGCTTTACCGACGAGGCCGAGGCTCAGAGAAGGCGTGTGGCTAGCTACTAAATGTCGACGCCTCCGTCCGTTTGCCCCCCGCTGCCCGGAAATCAGTTTTTTTCTGCCCCAGAGTGGTAGACCCCAGGAAGAGCCTCCCCATGCCTGCTTCCCCTCCCCCGTCCTCTTCTCTGGGAAACCATCCGCATCCCCAACTGGGAAAACCACAGTGGAGGAATTCCCTGGGCATTCAGATGCTACTGAATTCAGCTGGACGTCAGGCATCTCACCCTCGGCATAAGGGATCCCTTGGGAGCTTCCAGAAGGGCTGGTGGCACCTAGTGGCCTGCAGGGTAGGATCCACATCTCCGACCTGCCCACGGCCTGCTGTGGGCCTCATTGCTCTACAGCAAGAACCCCTCATGGGGAACTTGGAACTTGGGGAGCACATCCCGTCCTGTGTGAGGGGCATGCTCAGCTGTGTAGGCCCATCCCACGGGGCGGCCTGAGCTCAAGTGGATGCTCAGTCCCCTGTGTCAGGAAGAGAGTGAGTGGGAAGTAGCCGGTGGGGCTGTCGGGGACGCTGCTGACCAGCCCTTCGTGAGCCTCCTCACACCGGCCACCTGGGACACCCTGTCCTCCAGCAGAGCACCCAGCCTTGTCCAGCCCTCCATCCACCTTCCCCCCCAGCCCATGCTGCCCTCTGCAAGGCAAGGCCTCTCGGAGAGCCGGAATGTTCCAGAATCTTCCCCCACCCTCAACCACTGCACACGGCCTGGAGAGCTCCCACGCTCACAGGCACTCCCCCATCCCCCCCTTGTGTCTTGCAGCACAGTCGAGGAAGACAATGACAGTGGCGGGTTCGATGTCTTGGACTTTGACGGTAGGTACCCGGTGGTTCCCAGAGGCATACTGGTGTGGTCACTTGCCGTCCGGCAGGAGCATGACCACGTCACCCACGCCCCTGACCCTCCAGCTCGGGGCAGAGCCCTGCGCCTCAGGTCCTCAGGAAACGCATGCGGTGTGGATGTCGAGAGGGCAGAAAGAGTCCGTCCCCCCCGAGACTGGAGGTGTGGGGCAGACGAGCCCTGGGGAGAGCGAGGGTAGGCAGCCGTCCTACACCAGCCCCACGGCGGAGCCAGTGTGACGGAGGGGATGCTCCCTGGGCCTAGAACGAGCCGTGCAGAGAGCCGGGAATGAGGGGAGCCGCAGCCCCTTACAATTGGGGGGGGTCCGGTTCAGCCCAGCGCACATGGAGCCCCCACACCTCACCATGCCTGGGGCCCGGGACACAAAGACTCATGGCCCCGGGTCCTTGCACTGGCCGACACCCAGGTGGTATAGCTGTGATGTACCAACCCCGAGCCCCTGCCTGGGTGGGCAGAAGCCAGAGGGGCAGGAAGGGTTCAGAGGCCTCCGGGAGATGACCCCGTGCCTCCGGTGGCCCCTGCTCCTCCTCAGCTGGAAGCACGGGGGCTGGCCCAGACTCCCGCAGGTGGGGCCTGCCAGCCTTCTCATTCCCGGGCTTCCCCGACCCTGCCTGCACCCTCAGCGGCTCAGGCTGCCGGCAGATAAGATGAAGGATTAGCAGCTCTCCCTAATTGGGGACTATCAGGAGCTTTCAAGTGTTAAAGAGAGGTTAGCACCTAATAGAGGCTGGGTCATGAAAAGAATTGAAGGAGTTTTGGAAAGGGGAGAGCTCAAAAGAGAATTCTGGGCAGCCATCCAAGGCATTCTGCAGCGTCAGGACAAATTCCCGTTGCAGAGAAGCCTTGTTATCAGCCCAGAGCCGGGTTTGCACCTCCTCCATCCCAGCGCCTGGGCCGTGGGGAGTGGGGGTCTTCCCCCCAAGTCCTCGGGGTCCCGCTGAGTTGGGAAGAGGGGGCTTCTGCCCTCGGTGTAGGCTCTGCCCTTCATGCCCTGCCCCAGCCCACAGGCCTAGAAGTGGCTGATGGTAAGACCTAAGGTGGTCCCGAGATGAAACTATGGACCCCAATTCAAAAGCGGAATGGGTGCGAGCTGGTGCAGACCCCTTTCCCAGGTACAGAAACACGAGTCTTAAAAAGCAGGTAGCTGGTGAGGCCTCCCATAAGAAGGGACTCAGAGGCAGGGGCATGGCTCTCCGGAAGAAGATTCATTCAGTGCAGCACCGGCTGCAGGCCTCCTGGCCCGGGGCCCAGCGGGAGAATTTCCTGGGAGGCAGGTGGGGAGGAGTAGGGGCCGTCCTCCCTGTTCTGCGGGTCCTCACGTGCGCCGGCCCCTTTGCAGATGACAGTCACGATCGCTGCTCCTTCGGACCCCCATCCGTCCACTCCTCCTCCTCCTCCCACCAGTCCGAGGGCCTGGACGCCTACGACCTGGAGCAAGTCAACCTCATGTTTAGGAAGTTCTCTCTAGAAAGGTACTGTGGTCGCGGGAAGGGGGAGCCAGTGCTGGGGGTGGGAATGGCAGGGTAAAGGCCAGTCACCCCCAAGATTGCCCAAACACCATCCACCTCCCCCGGATTCTAGAGTCAGAGTCCAGGAACCATAGTGTCCCAGAGCCAGAGAGCACCCCCCACCACCCCCCACCCCCAGCCCCCAACCAGGCCTGGAGAGGGAGGGGCTTGTCCAGGGCCACCCAGAGAGGCAAAGGGGCAACCCTCGATGTGCGGCGGGCCCCCGCCCCGCCTGAGACTTTCTGCTGGGCTGGAAAGCCAGGTGGGAAGAGGGGAGGACCCTGCCCTCAGAGGCCTGCCCCGTGGCGTGTCCTAATCACAGCTGCCTAACCACTGTTTCCTTCCCTGACCCAGGCCCTTCCGGCCGTCTGTCACGTCCGTGGGGCACGTGCGGGGTCCCGGGCCCTTGGTGCAGCACACCACGCTGAACGGTGACAGCCTCATCTCCCAGCTCACCCTGCTCGGGGGCAACGCGCGAGGGAGCTTCGTCCACACGGTCAAGCCGGGCTCCCTGGCCGAGAAGGCCGGCCTCCGCGAGGGCCACCAGCTGCTGCTGGTGAGGGGCCGGGGCGGGCCAGGGGAGGTGGCACACACACCGGTGCACGCACGCCATCGCACGGGGAGGCAAATGAGTTTAAATGGGATGCTTCCTTGGCTCTCGGCGACATTGAGTTGGTCGCTGTCTGGGGAGAGGTGTTTTTGTTCCCCGGCGGGGCGGCCCCACCCCTGCAGCCCTGCACGCCCGTGGAGCCGCGAAGAACAGCGTGTCTCTGATATCTAGCTGGAAGGCTGCATCAAAGGCGAGCGGCAGAGCGTCCCGTTGGACACGTGCACAAAGGAGGAGGTGCACTGGACCATCCAGAGATGCAGCGGCCCCATCACACTGCACTACAAGGTCAACCAGGAAGGTAAAGCCACACTCACCCGCACTCGGCCACGACCAGCAGGACGGCCCATGTGGGGGTGGGGGCTTGAACAGGGCTGGGGTCACGGCTCCTCTGTCTGGGCAGTGAGCACCAGGCTCTGTCTTCCAGTTCCCAAAGTCTAAGCCCCCATCCTCACCTCCAGGGTTTTTTCCTGCATGATTATGTCTGCAGCTGGATCTTATTTTTAACCACTAGGGCTCATGAATGTTTCAACAGAGCATAAATAGCCACTTTCTCTCTAGCCTCTCCCCACTGCTGCTTGCTAGCCTGCACTCCTTCCCGGCAGTGCCCGGTCGGTGCAGAAGATGATCCCGATGCTCTGTCCCCACATACAGGGCGCAGCCTCCTCCCCCTCCCCCTCCTCCCGACTCGGGCAGGCTCCTCCCCTCTTCCCACCTGGCTTTCCAGCCCAGCAGAAAGTCTGTGGGCGGCGCCCTGCCCACTGGCCGGCAGCATCCCCAGAGTTGTAGCCATGTGATCCAGAATTCAGGGCAGGAAAGGTCCCTGCCTAGCAGGGTCCCGTCTGTAGGGCCTTTCTCTGAGGGGGCAGAGAGTTCAGGGGTTAACCCTGACCAGGGCAGTGGGAAGGACCCGACCAGGAATCCCCTGCTTCTCTGGGAACATTGATCAGACAACCCTGTGGGTTCAAGCCTCCCCCGGTGCGTGTGGCACGGACACACTGGGCCTGGCTCTTAGGACACTTGTAGCTTCCACCGTGTTAGGCACGCGACTCTGTGCGTGCAGGGCTGATTTGGGGCTTTCTATTATGGATTTATGTTACAGACATTCAGTTTGCTGGATTTATTGTATTCGCAACTTATGCCCCATTTCCTTCCAAAGGGATTTGTAAAAACTCATACTATAGAGGACGGTGGCGTTAAATAAGGTTAAAAGAACACGCACCGTGGTCCCACCACTTGGGAAAACCTTTGGGCGGTATCTAGAAAGTTACATGGATAGAAAATCAAGGACCTAGTGATTCTACTTCCGTGAGTAGAGCCAGGAAAAACTAGTGCACATGTCCACCAAAGACACGTATGAGACTGTCCACAGCAGAGTGACCCGTCACAGCCAAAGCCTGGGAACGGCTCAGATGTGCGCACAGGAGAAGGGGTAAATGAACGCGTGGAGGGCGTGAAGATCGTAGCCGAGGTCCTAGATTTGTTGCAACTTGGCACAAAACTTAGCTGTGAGCTCCTGGGCAGCCAAGACAAAGAGGGAAACCCACACAGGACACTGGGGAGTCCCCACGAGCTCTAAGAGGAACGTGCCACGCGGGCGCATCTTTGCGGGCAGCGAGGAGGGAATTTGCGCCTGGAGGTTCTTGGCAGTTCCTTGACCTTCCCTCTTTGCACAGGGTACCGGAAGCTGCTGAAGGACATGGAGGAGGGCCTGATCACCTCGGGGGACTCCTTCTACATCCGGCTGAACCTGAACATCTCCAGCCAGCTGGACGCCTGCTCCCTGTCCCTGAAGTGTGATGACGTTGTGCACGTCCGCGACACCATGTACCAGGACAGGCATGAGTGGCTGTGCGCACGGGTCGACCCTTTCACGGACCACGACCTGGACGCGGGCACCATACCCAGCTACAGCCGGTGAGGCCGGAGCCGGTGTCAGGCGGGGCGGGGGGGGGTGGTGTTGAGGGGGCTGCTGCCCAGCAGAGGGGCTCACAGGGGGGCCGTTGCCTGCTGACCAGTGAGGCCCCCCCATTCCCTCCTCCTCCTGAAGCCTCCCCTGCCTGCCTGGGGATATTGCTCCCTTAAGTACTGTTGCTTCACTCACGCCCGGGAAATCCTCCTTCGGTCATCGCCGGGGAATGCCAGGCTCTCGGTTTTATGCCCCTTTGCTAGTCGTGGCTGGCGTTGCCACAGGCCACCTGCCTGACAGCCTTACGTAATTATACAGCGGTAGCTCATCGGTTAGACGCGGCAGGTGTCTGTAAAGCACCTGTGGACTCCGGCAGTCGCTCAGGCCAGCCCTGTGAGGTCAGCATCGGCAGACCCCACCTCCCAAGGCTCGGAGGAGTGGCTTAGCCTCAGTCAGCACTGGCCATGGGACTCAGGCCAAGCTGCCCGGGCGCCATGTCCTCCCTGGGGTGCCCCCGGGTCCCAGAGCTCCCCCTGCGCAGGGGCAGGCCCGGCCCTGATGTTCTGCCCTCCCCTCCCGTCTCCGCCAGAGCCCAGCAACTCCTCCTGGTCAAGCTGCAGCGTCTGATGCACAGGGGCAGCCGAGAGGAGGTGGACACCACCCACCACACCCTGAGGGCGCTCCGGGTAGGTCCCCCAGTGGATTACGGGGACTTGGTTCCTCGGGGATGGGACAGCCCCTCCAGGAGGAGCCCCACCCTCGGGGACCAACCCCTCGCCGGGAGGCAGCCCTTCCCCTGCGTCTCTGGTCTCTGCTAGGACAAGCCTCGGGTCGCCCCTTGCCCTCCAAGCTTGCTCCCCTTCTGGAATGCCTTGGTTCCACGACGGGTACTCTTACCCTTCACACCGAGGGGGCTTGAGGACGCGTCCCTGGTTCTCGGCGGCCTCCGTGGGCTCTGCCGTCCTGCCGAGCCCAGTGCGTCTGACCGACTGATAACTGATTTCAGAACACCCTGCAGCCCGAAGAGCCTCTTTCCACCAGTGATCCCCGAGTCAGTCCCCGCCTCTCTCGAGCAAGTTTCCTTTTTGGCCAACTCCTTCAGGTAAAGCGCCCCAGAGCGCCTCCTGACTTTTCTTCACAATCACGTTTTGCTATGGCTTGCCCTCTCGCTGCAGAGAAGACCTGATCAAAATAACTGTGCTTTGTGTTTGTACCCCACTTGCAACTTCTCACAATGCCTCACATTTCCCATCCCAGTGTATCCTCACAGTGACGGGTCGGTAGACAGTCTCTGCACCTGTTGGAAGCAACATCTCTTTCATAAAAGATTGGAGGAACTTAAGGCTAAAAGAACTTAAATAACTTAGATATTCAAGTATTAATAGATAAAAAACAGTGCACCAGGAGAAGAAAACAATCGTCGTAAGTGTCTAGGTCAGTTTCATCCCTCTGATCATGCATGAAATTTATCTCTGAGCATCCTGGCAGCCAAGGAAAAAAGGGAAACGCTACAGATTCTTTAAATCTTATCTGACCCCAGGAACATTTTAGCTCTTTGGGACCAGAAAATTTTTTCCCTTATACTTAACCCTGAAATGGATTTTTTTTTTTTTGCATGAATTCTTTTACAAGGACATTGAATAGCACAGTAGGTGATATCTTCAGAAGGGATTTCACATAACTGCAGAAGCATTCTGTGCAGCCCTTTCTTCTGTTACGGGCTGACAAGAGCTAAGGTGTGGTCCCGCGAGGACACTCCTGTGTTGATTCTGTGCTAATCAGGCCCCAGAGGAGCTGGTGTGTCACTCCAGTGCTCCATCCTGATGTGGAAACACAGGAAACCCAGAGAAATGGTTAACGGTGTGACCCTGAAACCAGATAGATGCAGACAGGTACCAGAAAAATACTTAGGGAGGTGGAAGGAGCCCTCGTGAGTCTGAGCTACTCCTGAAGGCAGGACCACGTGAGACCACATGGTCCTGCTCACCTCACTGCCCACATGTCATGCAAGAGTCATAAACCTTGGGCGTCTCTGGGTGGCTCACCCAAGGGCCAGTGAACAACAGGGCCCGACCAAGATCTCAGCTCCCTGGATTTTTCTTCCTGCAGCAGGAGGGTATGGAGAGATCAAAGTAGCCCAGGGAGTAGGTGGGAATTTAGATTCTGTGTCCACCACTGGGGCATCCCTCTCTACCCTCCAGGGCTCAATTCTGAATCGTACAAGGTAGCAGGCACCCCCAGAGCACTTGGGGATACTGAGGCAGGGGTTGTGGAGGGCAACATCATGGGAGATGGAGCCGTCCTGCCAACAGGGGCTCCCAGACAGGGACCTTCCAACCGCGGCTCCCCAGGAGGGACTCCCCATGCACCCCACCTGCACCCCACCCCTCGGCAGGCTTCAAGCCTGGTCAGGGAGGAGAGCGAATCAGCCCTTGTTTGCTTACTTACCTGCTAATGATGTCTGAAACAGCTAAAGGACCCTCTCGGCCTGCGAGGTGTCTCCTGTTTTCACGGGGGAAAGTGACTGACCCCGGCCCCCAGGGGCAGAGCTGCGGTCTGAGCAGAGGTCTGCGCGTGCCCGGGTGGAGGCAGCTCAGTCTGGTTAGAAGCAAAGCCCCCCGCCCCCCGCCCCTGTCCTCCAGTTTGTCAGCAGGTCTGAGAACAAGTACAAGAGAATGAATAGCAACGAGCGAGTCCGTATTGTCTCGGGGAGCCCGCTGGGGAGCCTGGCCCGGACATCCCTGGATGCCACCAAACTCTTGACTGAGAAGCAGGAAGGTATGGTGCTGACCACCTGGCCCCTCCCACCTCCTGCTGGCCTGAGGGCTGCCAGGGGTCTGGGCAGGTCCCGTGAGGCCCCACCAGGGGGGGCCGGGACACCCACTCCCTCAGAAGAGGGGTCGCACCCTGGGAGGATCTGCCAGGGGACCCGTC